GACGGGTGTTAGGATGGGGGTGGGGGGAGCCTGTAAAGCTTCAGAGTACACGAATCGACTACAATATGCTAATGCTTATTAGCTTCAGCTTCCAGTGGACCCAATTTCTGTCCGAATGAGTCTATGGATAAAGTTGATTTGTGGCTTTTGCAAGCATCCTAAGTGATATTTTATTTTATTTTATTTTATTGGATACGATGTATTGTTCCCTCATCCAGGCTGGAGTGTAGTGGCATCATCATAGCTCACTGCAGCCCTCAACTCCTGGGCTCAAGCAATCTTCCTACCTCAGCCTCTGAGTACCTGGAACTACAGGCGCAGACCACCACACCAGCTACTGTTTTGCTGTTTTTTTGTCGGCAGGATCTCGCCATGTTGCCCATGCTGGTCTCCAACCTCCAGCCTCAAGCTAGCCTCCATCCTAGGCCTGCCAAAATGCTGAGATTACAGGGCTGAGCCACACGCCGGGCCTCCAGTGATATTCCAGATTTTAGGAAGAATCCGAGCATCACAGACTCTGAACTAACACGTTTCCAAACACCGGGGCGATGAGTTGCACACAGTACCCCCAGAAATGTGATTAAGCCCCTTCTAAGAAACGAAGCCCCTCCTCTGCAGTTGGACCTGGTGTCGCCATTCCCCAGCGTCCCTCACGGTGGCGCTTCGCCCTTTCTCCTGGAAGCCTGACGGGGTCGACCTCGCCCACGCACTCTGCATCTCCGGGAACTACATTACCCAGAATGCTCTCCGAGGAGCGGAATTGTCGTTCAGGCAAAGAAGCCTCTGAATATAGGCCCTTTTGCGGAGCTTACGTCACGTCCGGTCGGGACTTCCGGCGTCCATCTTGCGGCGGCCATTTTTGCTTGTCTTGGGTGCATCCAGTTGCGCGGGGTCTGTAGCGTTGTGACAGGATCGAAAAAGTCCAAGAGGAGTGGTTGTGCTTGCTACGCATCGGCGGGTCTGAGGCTCCGTGAGGCCTCCAGGCGTGACCCGCGACAGGCGGGGCTAGGGACCGCCGTGACCCGCCCTCCCAGAGTCCGATGGCGGCAGCCGAGCCCAGGGAGCCGGCTCAGGTAAGTGCGACGTCCTCCGGACCTCTCTAGACCTGACCCGACTCAGACAATAAGGCCCCATTGAGGAGAACTCGATCGCGTTCCTGCAGTCCAGGTCTCTGCCCTCCACAGTGAGGCGCTCCTGGTGGGATCCCTATTTCTACCATGAAATGGGATGTGGTGTCGCAGAGTGTGACAGGCAGAGGGACTGGCACGTGCAAAGGCTCGGAGGTGCGACTGAACTGGGAAGGTTCGTAACTCGGGGACGTTTTGTGTGTACTGGGAACAGAGATTGTTAGGCAGAGTTACTCTTGCTGCAGTATGCTGGAGGTTGCACTTGAATTTTGAGACTCTGGCAGCCGTGGAGTTTTCAATAAAGGGGGGACTCTATATATACGGGGTTTTTAAAAATTTCCCAAGGGATGTTCAGGAGAAGAAGAGAGTAGAAGGAAGTGATGAGGACGTTGAGGCATTAGGAGGTTAAATATTTGTTGAAGGTCATATATCTAGTAGGAGGTGGCTTTTGTCATAGAGCACTCACCGGAACCACGAGGTTAGAGAGCCAGCCTGAGGTCACTTGGTTCCACGACTAAAAGTAGGTTACAGAGAGGCCTGAGTTCACGGAATCCCACCATGGACACAATCCTGAATGGCCTTGCCTTTTGCACGTCTTCTCATGCTGCAGAAGGTCTTAAGGAACCCACACAAGGAGGGCATGTTTTAGTTCCTCATTGGCCCCGACTCCCACCCCCGTGTTGTGTAGACTGTGGTGTCCTGGGACTCTTAAGTGCTTTTTCTCCAGTCCTTCGATCTGGGGATCTTGGAGAAACC